CAGAACTGGATGCAGTACTACAGCTGTGGCCTGACCAGAGCCGCATAGAGGGGGAGGATCACCTCCTTGGACCTGCTTGAGATGCATCTGTGGATGCATGACAAGGTGCGGTTGGCCTTCCTGACTGCATCCCCACACTGCCGGCCCATATTCATCTTGGCATCAACGACGACTCCAAGATCCTTTTCTGCCTCTGCACTGCCGAGAAGGGAGTTCCCCAACCTGTAGGTATGCTGCTGGTTCTTCCTCCCCAGGTGCATCATCTTGCACTTGTCAGTGTTGAATCCCATCCTATTCTCATCCGCCCACCCTTGTAACCTGTCTAGGTCTGATTGCAGCCTATTCCTCCCTTCTAGCGTGCCCACTTCTCCCCACATCTTAGTGTCATGTTAATCATTAAGTCATGTTAATCATTTTGTCATCTACTGATTTACATAGAAACTGTATCAGTGGCCTGATAAGTTATATACGGCACCCTAAATCCTGTTTATTTACCTTGTTTTTTTCACATAAAACAGCTTTGAATTTAAAATGCACTTTAGGAAAAATAAATCCCTGAGTACAGAAACATCTGTGAGAGTTTTACTTTTTTATTTTACTCCCATTTAAGATAGGTTATTTCTGGAGGAAATATTTTTGTTTTAATCTTTGTTTTAAGTGCATCTTATACTTGACTGAATATAGTAGTGTTTATTTTTAGACTCTTTTCTTGTGGCAGCATAGTAACCATTGTAGTACCATGTCTCTCCCAAACCTACTTTTCAAACTAAATTTTTAGAACAGGTATGCAAAACCACATCTATCCTCAACATACCGTGTCTTTCTTGTATATGTATTAAAATGAACACAGGTTAAAGAATGACAATTAAGGTAGTGAAAACTGCTAGTTTATCTCCCCAGGCATGTACCTGAATCTTTGGAGCACTATAATAAGCAGCTGCTTGTTGTACTGTGATGCAAATGACCATCTAGGCAAGTTTCACTTTGCCTTTGTGTGAGTTTTATAATTAAAAAAAAAAAATGCGACAATAGTTAAATGTTCTTCCTAGAAACATTAATATTCTTCCCACGTGAAAAATCCATAAAATTGAACCTCTTCCCCTTTCCAGCTGCTTGAGCTGGTTCTTGCAAAATACTTCAAGTATAGCCTGGGAGGTCTATGGATGCTTGTCTACAGCTACAAGAAGACTTGAGGAAATTGCCTGTGGACTGGGACTGGCTGGTCATTAGTACAAGTGATTGTGGATAGCGTAAGAATAGATAATACAAGTAAACTGCTGTTTTCTAAATATGTTAGTGGTGTGGATGTTGGATTGGATTTTATTAATGTTTCTGCATAGTTTTTGATTTCTTTGTTCATGGATTGTAAAAATATTAAATGCAATCACTTTTTTAGTTTGAATAGTACTTACTAACTCAAGTTTTTGTATTTTTATAGAACAATTCTAGCTGTTTAGTGAGGTGCTATTACAGTTTTTGCCTAAATTTTTTTTGTTTCAAGCTTTCTAGGTTAAAACGAGAGTTGGCACAGATGAAACAAGAATTGCAGTATAAAGAGAGAGGAGTGGAAACATTGCAAGAGTGAGTCGGGGGGTTTTATTTCTCTTGTATGAATTTCTTGTTACTGAATTGGAAATGTTTCAGGACTTTAGTTAATACGTAACCTGCTGCTATACATTTTAAAATCAGAATTATTCTGCTTTACAATGTTTTCTCTTTGATAAGGCAAAACTATGCATTCAAGACTGTTTCAGATTAGTTTAGGTTATTACTCCATTAGCTATTGTGTGAGCAAGTTTTATGCTCACATATTAACCAGAATGTAGTCTTGAATTATGCAAAATATGGAAACTAGTAAGTTTAGAACACTCATAACATCTAAAATATTAAAAAAAACCCTATAGTAATTTCATTTGGAGGTCTGTGTAGATTTAGTTCTGCCCTAATATTACAACTATTATTACAACTTTATGAGTTTTCTTTATTAATTGCTGACTTTCATACAGCAATCCAAACATAGATGGAAGCTTCCTTTCTTCATCTTTTCTCTGCTTGCTAAATATGGTACTATATAATCAATAACAGATATACAAGTAAGGGGAAAATCAATGTAAACAGTACACACCTAATAATATATAAATACTTATCTCATTAGGGTTTTTTTGCTTTAAAGCATACAGAACAGGGTAGCATGGCCAGAGGACTTCACTGACAAGATAAGCTAGTCATTCTTAGTCTAAATATATTTAAAAAGACTACATAAGAGTAATCCTTACACCTAGAAGCAAATAGATGTATATAGCATCCTCAAGACCTATCTTGATGTACAATACAAATGTATTGTAGTAATAAGAAAAGTCACAAGGTAAAAGTTAAATGTTTAAATTGAAAAATAATGGCTGCTTCAAAACAGGCAGTATCATACAATGCTGCAATAGTCATGCAAGAGTTAGCATGCATCGCACACAAATATTTATACCTTACATGATTACTTAATATTCTCTCTGTGAATAATAACTTTAAACTAAATATAAATTCCGGCTTTTCTTTCCTTTCTTTCCTATGAAAATGAGGTTAGTTTAAAAGGAGAGCAATGGGATTCTAATTTAGGGATCCATTCAATTGTTTTTTTTTTTTTCCTGATGGACTAGTCACTATATAGGAAACAGCCAAGATCAAAAAAGGGGGGGGCTTAAAGGCAACTCTAAATATACTTTAAAACTACATATTTTATATGACTTTCAGAGTGATAAAATTATGAATCTCAGTGTTAATGTTTGTGATCCTAACCCAGATTAAATTGCTCACTTTGGGGTGGGAAGGTGATAGTTCAGTTACTACTAAGAATTAATACTTTTGGAATCTGATCAACCAGCACTTCTAGCTCAAACACGAGTATTCTTTCTCTGCTAGTAAATTCTCATTGTTGATGACATTGTGATACTATGCTCACTCTGTCCTGCTTTTTACACATACCCACGCACACCCTCCCCCCCACCCCATACATCGTGTCACTGCACTGCCAAGTATTGTGATGGCATTATCTAGGGCTGTGTGAATCTTTGGGTGCTGTTTTGATTCGGGGGAGGCTTGGCCCAAATATCCAAATCCGAATTGAATCGGGAGACAAATAGAAAGGTCTGCATTGATTCAAAGCTC